TCTGAAGTTGTGGAGAATTTAAGAAGAATAGGAGATGGAAATGAGAGGAGTGATTGCCATCTCTCCTTCTATTGTCCTAACTTTCCCAACAGGCACCCTCAGGGCTGGTTTCCATAGCACACTGACATTCCAGCATGTTGTTATTTGTCTGTGGACTAGGCAAAAAAATATTTCTTTGAGTTAAAAAAAATGCTCAATTTTCAGTAACCAGATAGGTGATTTGTGATTTATAGGGAAAACAGGTTTACACAGCAGGCATTAAAAGATTCCCACACGTCTACCTTCTCCTTCCTTGTGTGTTGAGCCGTAGTTTCCTGGGGCAGCCAGCAGTACCTCATCCTCTGCTTCATACAACATCTCAGTTCTTAGTCAGACTCTTAACAGTAACATCCATAGATGGAATCAGCTTTGTTCTGTGACATAATTTGAACAGTTCCCTCTACTCTGTTTCCCTGAATTTTACCTTGTAACTGTGAGAACACTCTGACAGCACTTAATTAGCTGTGGCAATGGGCTCTTCACATAGGGGAGAAGTTTAACATTTAATGATGTGGGGCTGCTAAGATGGCTCAGTGGGTAAAGGTGCTTGTTTCCAAGCTTGACAACTTGAATTTAATCCCTGGAACCTACAAGTTTGATCAAGAGAACTGTCTCCTGCAGGCTGTCCACTGACTTCATATGTACCCAACCCCATTGAAATAAATACATGTAAAAATCATGATATATCACTATCCATGAATAGAAACTTGATTTTCAAAATAATAAGATATATATATGTATTATACATATATATATGTATATATATATACACATTTTGTTGTACTTTATATAATGAATACCTCATGATGAAGAAGATTATATGAAATTATAGTAGGAATGAGGAAAATATTAGATTTATAGTTCAAGTTTTTTATATTCTTTAGTTGGCTGATGATAAAACTGATGAACTAGCCTGCCTCCATCTTAGGCTTGAAACCCATATTATAGTAAAAAGAAATGAGGTTTCTCAAAGATTGACCCATGCCCACCTGTAACATCAATTACAAATAGTTCTGTACTGCCTATTCCAGGAAATGGCAACCATATCTTTGTTTCAAAAAGTTGTTATGACTATCTTGCCACCCTACCTTTGAAAAGGTTGTCATGACTACCTTGTTATGACTATCTTGTTATGATCATCTTGCTTTGCAGTTTATATAATCCTGCCAAATCCTCCATTTGGGAATCCCCTACCCCTGAACTATAAAAACCATTATCTTGTCCATGTCCAATGCTGATCTCATGAACCCTGCCTTAGGGGGAGGCAGCCTATGTACATAAATAAAAAGGCTTGCATTAATTAATTGTTTGTTTTAATTAATTTGGCCTTAAAGATTTGGGTCAGTAGTCTTTCTCCTTGGATCTTTGGGATTAACGAAAACCATTATAATGCTGTATGTCTCTGATGACAACACTTTTAAATGATGAATTTTGGTTATCATTAAGAGTTAAAACAAGAATATAGTGTGGGAATTGAATACAATGTTAGATTTGGGAAAGTTTTATTATGTTAGAAATATAACAATTTCGTAGACTACACTTGTTAAATGCTACTTAGAATTTTACTGAACTGTCTAATATAATTTTAACTACTGTGCTCCAGAACATATTTGAGAAAAATAGGAAGTTAGTTACCCAGGGGGAAATTTGTATTTTAATTTTGTTCCTTTCACCTTGGGAAGCATTTTAAAAAGTAAGAGTATGTTTTGAATGCTGCTTGATATATTCTACTTTGCACAGAGCTGGCTGTTACATAATGAAGGCTTTGCTGTGGCGTTAATAGGTTCCATATTCAGAAGGCAGTTCAGGGGTGCAGGGACAACTATGCAAAGTCTCTTGCTGCTTGCTGGTAAACAGAGTGTTTCTAAGTCATTGTTCTATTCTGAGGTCACTTTGCATTTTGCCCTGCCTAATTCCGTGATACCTTTAAATTGTAACTGTGGTTCATCTTAGAGCCTGGGCCTAATGGAACAAACTGTTAAAACAATGACATAATGTTATGAATGTGGGGTAAAAACAAAACAAAAAAAAGCTTCAGCCAGCCAATACTGGCGACTTTTCTTCTTGAGTTTCTTTAAACTATGCATCCTGATCTTTATAGAATTACATTAGTATCTTTCCTGTAAAATGCAATAATTATTTAGATCTCATTTCTAGAATTATACCTTTTCTTGTTTTGAAGAAAATTTTTTATTCCTTTGTTTTTTCAAGACAGGGTTTGTCTGTGTAGCCCTGGCTGTTCTGTAACTCACTCTGTAGATCAGGCTGGCTCTGAACTCACCTGCTTCTGCCCCCTGACTGCTGGGGTTAGAGGTGTGCACCACCATTATGATGAAATATTTGAAAATGTCATCTTGACACAAACAGGAGAGGGAGAAGCCAAAGTATTTTTATTTACAGATAGGATTTTATGCATAAATTAACCTAAAAAAATCCACCAAGAAAATTCTACAATGGATAAACACTTTCATCAAAGTAGCAGGATACAAAATTAACACAGAAAAGTCACTTGCCTTCTTATATGCTGATGGCAAACAGACTGAGGAAGAAATCAGGGGAACAGTACCTTTCACAATATCCTGAAAAAAATATTCTGGGATAACACTAACCAACCAAGTGAAAGACTTATTATAACTTTAAGAGATTAAAGAAAGAAATTGAAGAAGACATTACGAGATGGAAAGATCTCCCATGATTCATGGATTGGTAGGGTTATTATAGTGAAAATGGCCATCCCACCAAAAGCAAATCTACAGAGTTAATGCAGTCTCCATCAAAATTCTAACGTAATTCTTTGCAGGACTTGAAATGACAATTTTCAGCTTCATGTGGAAATACACACACACACACACACACACTCACACACACACACACACACACACACACACACACACACACACACACTAAAAACCAAGATAGCTGAGACCTCCTGAATGATAAAAGAACTACAAGAGGTAACACCATTTCCCGATCTCAAATTGTAATATGGAGCTATAGTAGTAAAACCAGCATGGTATTGGCACAAAAACAGACATATTGATCAATGGAATGAAGTTAACAGACCCAGACATAAGGCCACTCATCTGTGGATATTTTTGTTGACAAATAAGCAAAAAAAAAAATACACTGAGAGAAAAATAGCATCTTCAATGAATGTCTTCATTGCAGAAGAATGCAAATAGATCCATATTTATCACCTTTCACAAATCTCAACTCCAAATGCATTAAAGACCTTAACAAAAGACCTGATACTCAGAATCTTACAGGAAAAAAAAAAAAAAAAAAAAGCAGAGAACAGTCTTGAATCATTGGCATGGGAAAAGACTTTCTGAATAAGACACTGATAGCACAGACACTATAACAACATTTAATAAATGGGACCTCATGACACTGAAAGTATTCAGTTTGGCAAAGGGACCATCCTTTGGACAAAGCAGCAAGCTACAGAATGGGAAAGAAACTCAGCTAATTGCACATCCAATAGAGCAGCAGTTCTCAACCTGTTGGGGGCTGAGTGATCCTTTCACAGGGGTTGCCTAAGACCATCCTGCACATCAGATATTTACATTACAGTTCATAACAGTATCAAATGTACAGTTACGAAATATCCACAAAGTAACTTTATAGTTGGGAATCCCCACAACATGAGGAACTGTATTAAAGGGTCACAGCATTGGAAAGATTGAGAACCACTGTAATAGAGGGTTAGTATATAAAATATATAAATAACTAAAAAATACTGGACATCAAGAAAACAAATAATTCATTTTTAAAAATGAGGTACAGAACTAAGCAGAGTTCTCAAAAGAAGAAACACAAGTAGCTGGGAAACAAAGAAACATTTGATATCCTTAGTTATTTAGGGAAATGCAAATTAAAACTACTTTAAATTGAATAGCCAAATCATGACCAAAATCAATAAAAACAAATGACAGTTTATTCTGGTGAGGATGTGGAGAAAGGAAAACACTTATTTATTGCCGGTGGGAGTGTAAACTTGTACAACCACTATGGAAATCAGCATGGTGGTTCCTTAGGAAACTGGGATTACATCTACATTGAGATCCAGCTATTCCATTCTTGGCATATACCCAAGGACTTGACAGCCAATTCCGTATATATTTGCTCAGCCAACCTAAATGCCCTTCAACTGACAAATGGATAACAAAAACATGGTACATACATACTATGGAATACTAGTCAGCTGTTAAGAAAAATGAAATCATGAGCTTTTCAGATAAATGGACAGATCTAGAAAAGATCATATTGAGTGAGGTAACCTAAACCCAGAAAGTTGCATATTCTCTCATTGGAGGTTCCTATCTCCAAATCTTCAGAAGTTAGTACGTAACCTGTAGCAACCAGGAAAGTAAAAGGGAACCATTGCCAGGATAAGGAGTTGGGGAACAATAGAGAGGGAATGGCAGGGTACAAGTCATCTGGTTGGGAAATGGGAAAGGGGAACTCCTTAGCGAGATGAAAGGGGTAAGTACAGAAGAAGGTGAGAGGAGGAGACAGTGGAATAACAGGATATAAGTGATCTGATGGGGGAATGGGAAAGGAAGGACTCTTTAAGGAGGGAGAGGGAAGCAAATATAGGAGAAGGGGAGGGTGTAAAATAACAATAGGGATTTCCGAAAAAGCCACATGGAATCATACTATTAACTATTTACCTGAAAAACTGTAATGCATGTAATTCTGTGAATAAATATCATCTATAATTTTAATGAACTTCCCTTATACGGGTTGATGATTCTCCCTCCAAGAGTCAAAGACCACCTAACAAATACTAGGCATGAAAAACCCTCTTGAGTTGTTGGCCAGAGCTGTCCATGACACTCCCAAAATATACAGCCTATTGCTGTTGCCCTTGATTGCTCCCTAGAGATGAAAGGGGATCCCTGTTGCTGAAGACGCCATGCATTTCAGAAACAGGGCCCAGAGACCCCTGTGCTGGAACTGACCTGGATACTTCCTTCCTGAGGACTAACTTTCATGGAACCAGTAGGCATCATGCAAGCTTCTAAATGAGGGAGGCAACCAACAGTCGTACCCAGCTCTAACACCTATGAACCACATCATCAGCCAGCATGGCACGATGACCTAAGGGTACAGAGGTGGCTCACACACCTTGGGGCAGTAACCAGCAGCTCTCTGATTGGACTCAGGCCCTGTTCAACCTAGCTAACTACTAAGTGTTAGTGAAGTCATGGCTGTTAGAGGAAATCTACAACTGCTACTTTACTAAGCCAGCATAATCCCTAACAACAATCCATAAACATTTGTCCTTATTCTCACAGATACGTGAGAAACATCAAGAAAACTTCTCTTTGCAACAGATGGAGACCAATACAGAAAACCACAACCAATCAATACACAGAATTGTGGAACGTAGTCCCAATGGATACAGCTACAAAACATTTCCAAACCCAAAGCTTAGGGAATTTGCAGAAAGGGTAGAAAGATTGTAAGAACCAGAGGATCAGGGGGTTTGCTGTGAGACTGTGTCTCCTAGTGATGTCAGAAGATACACTCATAAAGTCTCACCAACATGACTGCCCAAATGTGTGCTGAGCAGGACAGCCCTAATGGACATGCTAAAGTGGAGAAGGAAAAGCTCCTGAGGCCTCCTCACCTTACAAAGAACTACAGGCAACTGAGGAAAGCTGGAAACGTGAGAGATGGTCTTTCCCAGGGAAGAACACAGCAAGTGGCTGTTTAATGCAAAATGGTAAGACTTGGACATTATACAGACTAAGCAGGTTCTATTTAGGAATATATCTGTGTATACAGAAAACAGATATGCATGTAATAACAACTAATGAAAGCAAAAGCCATGAGTTTGAGGGATAGTGGGGAGGTTTGGAGGGAAGAAAGTAAAAGAAGAAATGTTGCAATTATAATAACAAGTTTTAAAAAGTTAAATAAATCACCTTGAAAGGATTTTTTTAAACCATATGTAGATTTGGTTTTTTCAAAGCTTTACTAAGCTATAATTGATAAAAATTGTATAAACTGCACTCAGGAGATAGAGGCATCAGGATCATGAGTTTGAGGCCAGTCGGGACCAGATCCTGTCACAAAAAAGACATATATGTTATCATGTACACCATGTTTCTGTTTTTTTGTTTTGTTTTGTTTTGGAAAGTTCTTGCTATGTAGCCCAGGCTTGCTTTGGACTCACTGTACAACCCAGGCTGGCCTTGAATTTATGGTCATTTTTCAGCCTCAGCTTCACAAGTGCTGGTATTACAGGCCTGGCCAACATAATGTTTTGATACATGTCCACAATAACAAGTCCATCACTTTGCGTACTTGGTTTTTGTGAGTGGTGAGAACTCCTAAGACCTACCGTCTTGACAGTTTTCATGTATGCACATTAGAAAGGTAGGGCATATTTACCTTGTCCATCATCTCCTCTAGTCTTCTCCCTAGTCCTCTACACACAGCCACCAAATGGAGACAGATTTATGAGAGGGGACATCTTATTCAAACTGCCACACATGGTATTATCTATCTTTCATTCTAGCTATCATGTGGGTGGGAGGGAGGAAAGGAGTGCATAATGTTTTTTTTGTACATCTTTATTGACTCTTCCATAATTAAAGAAGTTGTGGACTTCTTTCTCTTTTGTTAGATTTCTGTCTGGCTAAGTGGTGGTCTTTGTTTTCCTATTAGGTTTTCTGCCTTTTTCTTAAACAGTCTTTATATATTCTGGATATGAGACTTTTGGTTGTGTGCGTATATGATGAGTTGCTGTCTTAGTCTTTAAGTGGTATCTTTTGATGAATAAACAACTCTTACCTTTAATGATGTCCAATGTATCATTCTCCCACCTATGATTAGCACTTCTGTGCCTTTTAAGAAAGATGAAAGTCCTTTCTTACATTTTTTTCTAATTAGACCTATAATTCAACTAGAAATGGGTTTTTCATGTTATCTGGCATCATGGTTCTTTGTTTATTGGTGCCCACACAACTGTCCAGTTGGCCCCGTCACATTTATTGTAAAGACTGTCCTTCCCTCACAGAATTACAGTAAATCAAATGGACATGTATTTGTAGGTCCATTTCTGACCACTCCATTCTGGTCTGTTAGCTTATTTTCCTGTCCCTCTGAGAATACCATGTTGAGTTAGCTGAAAGTTTAAGTTTCAGAGTGAACTCTGCTATCTGGAAGCCCAGGTGTAGCACAAATAATAAAAACCAAGAGACTGATATTAGGGTTCAAGCTTCAAGCTGAAGATTAGAGAAGCAAGGCAGCCAAGCCAGTAGATCTTAACTCTGCCAAGCTGAAATGGCAGTCCTGCCTCCATGAATCCTCAGAGGCAAAAGCTCTCAGTTCCTGTCTCTGTCTCCTTTTATTCCTTTCTCCACCCAGCCATATCACTCCTGTCTCCACCTCCCTAGTGCTGGTATCAAAGGTGTGAGCTCTGTTACTCTTCACTCTTGTGTAGGCAAGGGTGACCCTGAACTCAGAGAGATCCATCTGCCTGTCTCCTGAGTCCTGAGATTGAAGGTGTGCCACCACTGCCTGGCTAGCTAGTATGGCTGCTGGGATTAAAGGTGTGTATCACCACTGCCTGACCTCTATAGCCTGAGGCTGGCTTTGCTTTCTGAATCCTCAGGCAAGCTTTAATAAATCATAAATAACATATCACCATACTCAGGTCTTCCATCTCTGTTGCTTTCAAGGTGTCCTTGACTATCTTGTGCTGTTTGCACATCCCGTTGATGCTTCTTAGTAGTATAAAAATAAGTCTTCATTTTAGTAGCAGCTGTTTTGAATTTTTGTGAAAGTCTTACCATCCCTATTATTTGTAGTGGTTTGTGATGGTGTATTTGTGATAACTTTTTAACATTTATTCAGCAGTAGAATATAAAAAGAAAATATATGTATCTCCTTGTTTTGTTTTGCAAATATACACAAAAGGAAATATAATGTCAGTAGGTAGAGGTGGGAGAAAATGAGTAACAATGTGAAGTAACTGAGTGTGGGTTCCTCCTGGGACAGGAGGGCTGTGCATTGGAGGGCAGCTGCGCTATACAGTAAGACCCTGTTTCCAAAAACATCCAGCTAACCAACCAAACAAGACAAAGCAAAAACAGAACAGTCCAACAACAAAGAATGTAAACTAAAGCAATAGATAACATTAAGGTAAATTTGCCTTTTTGATAGAGTTAGGGTGGAAACTTTTGATTTCAACTTTATTAGAGTTAAAATAAGACAACCAGCTATAGTTAAAGGAATCAATATAAAAACAACCCATTTGCTTTAAAGGAGACTTTTTCCCAGTACTGAGAGCTAAAGAGGTGATTTTTTTTCCTCTGTTGAATTTTAAGTGTGATAACCTGATCCAACAGTACTTTGGATAATATTTGAACATAATTTCAAAACCCCATTTATCTAGACGGTTCTATTGAATCCACAACAGTACAAATGTGTGTTTTTCTGATAATCTTGACTTGATCCAAGGATAATGGGCCTCATTTTTATTAAAAAATAAGTAAGATATATGTATCACTCAACTCACCATGAATTAATATATCTGTTGGCAAGAACCTGTGTTTTTCATTTAGATATGTCTGCTTACTTGGATAGACACTGGAGCAGATGTTCTGTGAGTTTGTGGTACTCTTTATTACTGAGTAGTAATCCTTATTGCCAGGCACTCTGATAAGTGCTTTTATTTGTATTATAAAATTTAATCCTCAGAACAACCCCTTGTGATAGTATCTGTGGTTATCATTTCTTCATGGATATAGAAGTGAGGCAAACATCTTGTCAAAGTCATACGACAGGTATGCAAGGGACTCAGGACTTGGCTTCTGACAGTTGGGCCTCACTTCCTGCTACATTAGCATTACTGGTAAGAACCCTCTGTAGGTCAGACTTGTGCTATCAAGTTTGACTAGAGTGTTTTCCCCAGGAAACACTTGTCTAAGTCTATTACACAGATGGACAGATGGTGAGGAAAAGGAGATTAACAACGATTTTGCATGAGATAGAAATTTTACATTTTCTTTAGTGTGTGTGTTGTATTTATATTAAAGTCAGTCTTCTGAGTAATCATTATTGAATAGCTTTATGTTGGAATTGTCACTTTTCTTTTAAAAAATTCTCTTGATACGAAGCTATCAAAAGAAGCCAAAAAATGGGGTGTCCCTCTCTCAGAGCCCCTCCCATTCTCTGGAGTTCCTTTTCACTTTTCCTTTATAAATCTACATTTATAAGATTTATAAGATTATATTAGGAGGGACTAGGAGGGAGGGAGGGAGAAAGATCAAATGGCTTGCTTAGCTAAATGAAATATATGCAAAATAAGTTAATGTTTCCTATAAACATAAGATCTCTTGTGGGTAGATCTTTTTTATACTATAATAGTTTTCAAGTCTTTTTCACAATTTTAAAATGATCAATTAAAAGTAAAGAAGAATTTTGAATGCTTTACAACTGGCATTCCTGAAAGCTGAATGAAAATTGTACAGGCAGTTTTACTATTTTATGATATTTATACTTTTGTTGGAATCTTGCATTAAGGTTTGCTTGTGGGCATTGATTGTTTTTTAAATGAATGTAGTAATTTATATTTGCAACTAGTTTCCCAAGTAAGGGGTAACTATAGGAACACTTCTATACATAGTGTTAAGAATGAAGTAGAGCTAATTCAAACATTTCACACTAATCTATGTTCATTTTCAGACTAAAGGTTCGGAACAAATGTAGAAAGATGTTCACTTCGGAGATGGGGGTTGTGGAAGAATGGCTGTCAGAATTTAAGGTAATAGCAACTCTTCTAATATAGCAATTCCTTCCTAAACAAAGCTTGTCTGCATTTAAATTCTAGTGGCTTTTTGTATTTTATGTGACTAACATGCTGAAGCATGTGTGGAAAAAGAATGTACTGTATCATAGTAGGGAGCTATTTATTCACAGCGATCTTTTGTGGAAGATTTAATTCCTTTCCCCCAAGTGTCTCAAAGAGCTTATTATCTGTGTATTCTCTTCCTTCCACGTGACATTACCATGGCCATGAATGTTGATGTCACCCCCACAGTGATCATCAGTGATCCATTGTCAGAAATAGGGTGGGAAATAGTGGACCTGTTCATGACTGACAGAAAGCAGAGGGCACAAGATATTGACTTAATCTTCACCACGGAATCTGTCTCTAGATGGAGACCTAGGAGCTGTGTTAGGAGAGTGTAATCCTTGACTCACTGGTGAAGAAAATAAAGCTTAGGCTCTGTGTCTCCTGAGCCCTTCTCTATGGTGGCTAACCCTGTATTCCTTAAACCAGCTAGTTCCTTTCTCCTGTCCTTGTGGGACACTTTGTGAACCTAAACTAAAGACATGAAGAGATTGGGTAGCAAATGTCATTTTGATTTTGTCTGGGCTGATTAGGGACAGATTTACAATGTAATAGTGTCAGGCTTCTAGGCTTGCTATAGGGAAGGACACTGCACAGTAATTCAACAGTGACATCACCAAACAGAGGAAGCATTTGGAGGAAAGGTATTTTAGGTGAAATTTAGATGAAAACATGTTTTGATGGGCTCAGAACAATATAGGGTTGTGTGTAATGGGGTTAACTTCTAGTCTGGACTTGAAAATGGACTCAGAATCATGCCATCTTGAAAACTATAATGTTAATGTCGATTAGTAACCGGTTCAAACTCTTGGTCTGAAGGTCTTTATCTGTGATGGAAACCAAGACTGCTCCTCTGTGTCGCTGAGTTAGATCCTTCAGGCAAGAGGCGCATGTGTCATTCTTCCTGATATGTGTTCAAATGACAAAGTTTGGATGATTTGTGGTTTTAGACAAGGCTTTTCATCAAGCAAGAATACAATAGTCTCTCAGAGGAGGGAGTGCTGCTACACTCCAGTTGCTAAGTGACCTGTTAATCTTATGTGGGCTTTATCTGCTCCAGTTATCTGATGCTCATGAATGCTGGATAGACTTTGATACTTTCTTAGCCCTCTCTCCCCACCCCAAGACAGGGTTTCTCTGTAGCTCTGGCTGTCCTGGAACTCGATCTATAGACCAGGCTGGCCTCGAACTCACAGAGATCCGCCTGCCTCTGCCTCCTGAGTGCTGGGATTAAAGGTGTGCACCACCACTGCTCAGCTACTTAGTTTTTAATGTCACAAATAGAGTATCCTTCTTTGGATTTCCTAATTCACCATGAAGCAGTGTGGAATGCTGTAGAAGTACACTGTATAGTGTTTTTTTGTTGTTGTTGTTGTTGTTTTTTTACAAATTTTAATGTTTGGATTAAACCTTTTATATGTTTCCCTCATGTTAGCTTTGTAAATGATCATTCAAGGAGTTTTAAAAACTTTTCTTCTGCTTCAAAAGTATTTATAATGTTTTACTACACATTGCTATGATTTTTGAGTGAGGGCCAATTGATGGAACTTTTCTGATTTAACTGTTGAGTATCATTTCTTGTAGACCATTCTTATGTCAAATGTGGAAAAGCTGGCCAGGGTGGTGGTGCATGCCTTTAATCCCAGCATTCAGGAGACCGAGACAGAAGGATCTCTGTGAGTTCGAGGCCAGTCTGGTCTATAGAGTGAGTTCCAGGACAGGCTCCAAAGCTACAGAGAAACCCTGTCTCGAAAAACAAAAACAAAAAATGTGGAAAAGCCAACATAGCTAGTTACTGATTCCTTAAGACAGAGCTGTACATTAGAAGACATGATGATTATGGCAAATGTTTGAAAATCATGATGCCTTTTCTGGCTAGATTTGTATCAACTTAAAACAAACAATAGTCATCTGAGAGGAGGAAACCTCAATTGAGAAAATGCCTTCTTAAGATTGGGCTGCCAGCAAGATGTAGAGCATTTTCTTAATTAGTGATTGATGGGGGAGGGACCAGCCCATTGTGGGTGCTGCCACCCCTGGTCTGGTGGTCCTGGGTTCTCTAAGAAAGCAGGTTGAGCAAGCCAGTAAGCAGCATCCTCCATGGCCTCTGCATCAGCTCCTGCCTTCAGGTTCCTGGCTTGTTTGAGTGTCCTGACTTCTTTGATGATGAACAGTGCTGTGGAAGTGTAAGACAAATAAACACTTCCCCCCAATTTTCTTTTGGTCATGGTGTTTCATTGTGATGATAGAAACCTTAAGGCAATGCCTGTCTGCTAATTCTTTCCCTTTCCTGCCATAGTGTTCAGATACGTAGGAAATGCAGTAGGAAGGACACAGGGCAGGGTAGCAGTATTGACAGTGGTGTATCCTAGGGTCTGAGGGAGCAGAGTACTTATCTGATTAGGAAGAAGGTTGCAAAGGTGACTTATACAAGAGCTGGCTGGAGAGACTGTGCTGGTAGATTAGTGCCACTGAGTAAATAAATACATATATCAAGAACATGGGAATTAGATTTTGCTCTGTCTAAGAAAGGCATTGCAAGCCTGGAGTAGGTTTTGTCGGTAGAAAATCAAGGAGTGGAGTTAGACTAGAATTGGAAGACATATGCACTTGAAAAAGGCATCTGATACCTGAAAATGGTTGTGAGCCACCCAATGTGGGTTCTGGGAATGGAACTGGAGAAAAACAAGTGCTCTTAACAGCTGAGCTATCTATCTCTCCAGCCCTATGTTTTGTTTTGTTTTGTTTGTTCATTTTTAAAGAAAATGCTCTGAGTTTTTTTGTTTGTTTTGTTTTGAGTAGCACAGTTATGGCAACATTGTTGTAACTGACTGAGTGGTCTGAGAGTCAGCAACCCCATTGATTGGATCCCCATTCCAGTAGGTGGTTTTCTTGAGTAAATCATCACAGCTCAATCAGTAGCATCAGAAGGGTTCAAGTAGATGGTCTGTAGAGGTGACTTCAGATCCATGATGTGCCCTGCACAGTCTGACTCAGCAGCCTCTAAAACCCAAAGAGACAATGCACTTTACCCCTGTAAAGCTTTAACTAAAACTTTATACGAAAAATAAACACAAGTAAAACTTTTTCTAGTGAGCTGGAGACATAGTTCAGGGTAGGGTGAGAGTGGGGAGTAGAGGAGCTTGCCACCAAGTCCGATGATGACCCGTGTTAGATCCCTAGAACCCACAGAGAGGACCAACTTCTAAAAGTCCCCCACACACACACACACACACACACACACACACACACACACACTAACTAAATACAAATAAGTAAATGTAAAAGTTTTAAAAATTAAAAAAAAATTTTACTTGTAGAAAAGCATTCAGTATCTATGCTAGATAATCTCTTAGTATTTCCTTGATAAACTAAGTAATTAAACTAGAATTTCATGAATATTTAATATTTTCAATGATTTATTTGTAAAAAGAAATTTCAGATTGCTTTGTGTTTTTCTTAATGTTGTGTGTATATTATCTAACAGATTCTAGACTCCTAATTTGTTACCAATTTCCTGGTAGTCACTGAATCCATTTTCATGTGTGAAGCTATTGAACGGGCCTGTTCTGTTTATTGATTCTTCACCCATCTGCCCATCTTCATTAATTCTCTTCACCTAACCCGTATCACCTCCTTTAAAGCCATCTGCCACATGGCACTTTAATATGAAGCATCTGTTCCCTTAAAAAAATTGTCAAGAATAATTTTAACATACTTTTTATTTTCATCTCCATTTCTGCCTTCTGTAACACGAGAAACCTTAGCTGGTGGTTGGTTGAGAAGGCCAATCGTTCTTGAGTTCATCTGGTCCTTTAAGGTCCATTTTTCAAAGCACTGCTTGGTTTGTTTGAATTTTTATGTGTTTATTGTATGCATATGGGTGTTTCGTCTGCATGCATCTCTGTGTACTGTGTGTGTGTGTCTGGTACCTGCAGAGGCAAACAGAGGAGGTGGGATCCCCTGGGACTGGAGTTACAGACAACTGTGAGCCACTATGTAGGGGCTGAGAGTGGGGATCCATCCCAGGTCCTCTGGAAGACCAGCCAGTGCTCTTAATGCTGAGCCACCTCTCCTGTCTCCCACTCAAAGCACCATGAGCACAGTAGTTACACCCTTCCTTCTGTAGAGAAGTGACTGCTCGCATCCATACCATGTGGTAGTGATGAGTGTGAACTGAGTGTGATAGCCACCTCTCCGGTTTTAGAGGGTCTCTTTTCTTGTTTGCCACCAGCAGCCTCAGGACACTGTATTTCACAGAGTTTGACTCTTCAGACTCTTTTGTCTCTGGCTATTTCTTTTCTCTTTTAAAAATATTTTATTTAATATTCATATGTGCATATGTGTTCAGATCAAACCCTCCCCTTTCTCTTCCCTCCATTCATTCCCTATCCTCCCCTCATTTTTCTCTCCTAATTTCATATGCTTTTTCTTTAAAAAGTAATTCAATACCCACTGGATCCATTTAGTGTATGGATGTGAGACCGTCCACTGGAGCTGGGGTAGCCTCTCAGGGGCTGCATTCCTGAAGAAAACTGATTTTCTTATACCCTAGCAGCCATCAATTGCTAATAGCTCCTCAGAAGGGGTGGGACTTCATGAGCCCCTCCCCTATCTCTGCTGGAACTCAGGCTGCTTGATCTTGGGCAAATCTTGTGCAGTCCTAGCTGCTATGAGTTCGTGAGTGAACTGAGCTGTCTGACAGCTGTCTGCTGTTTCGATGCAGACATCTACTCCCTCTGGCTCTTAACAGTGGTTATTGTAGCTTGCAGTGCTCACTAGTAGGACTATTGATGCCAATTCCCTGGTAGGATGCTAGATCATTCCAGCACCATGAAAGTTAGGCAGTAAAGAAGCTCCCAGGGTACACCAGCTTGATTTCTCATGTCCTGTTACTCAGATGTGTGGTATCTTGAGCAGTAGGGTTTTACTTCAAGTTCTGGAAGGTAACTATCTTAGAATTCCTATTGCTGTGAAGTGACACCATGACCACAGCAACTCTTATAAAGAAAAATATTTAATTGGGGCTGCCTACAGTTTCAGAGGTTCAGTCCATTATCCTCATGGCGGGAACCATGGTGACTGCAGGCAGACATGGTGCTGGAGAAGGAGCTGAGAGTTCTCCATCTTGATCCACAGGCAGCAAAAGTGAATGCCACACTAGGCCTAGCTTGAGCTTCTGAGACCTCAAAGCCCACCCCTACAGTGACACACTTCCCCCAACAAGGCCACACCTTCTAATAGTGCTCACTCCCTATGAGCCTATGGTTTTTGGAGACAGGGTTTCTCTGTGGCTTTGGAGGCTGCCCTGGAACTAGCTCTTGTAGACCAGGCTGGTCTTGAACTCACAGAGATCCACCTGCCTCTGCCTCCCGAGTGCTGGGATTAAAGGTGAGTGCCACAACCGCCCAGCTATGGGGGCCAATTTTATTCAAACCCCCACAGTGACCAAGAGCAATGGCAAAAGACAAACAAGCCAAAAAAAAAAAAAAAAAAAAAAAAAAAAAAAACAAAAAAAACAACAACCTTTCATTTGGATGGGGGGTGGAGATCTTACTGAATAACAGCTCAACGAGTTAGCCAATACCCTGTATTGGGGTGTTTTTTTGATAGCTATGGTCTCTAGGGGTGTCAATGCCCCCCATTATAAGGTAGCTAGAGACACACACACACACACACACACACACACACACACACACACACACACACACACAGAGTCATACACACACACACATTTTAGGAAACTTCTATGGTAGTAGGTTTCCATCTGACATTTCCATAGTCTTTAGTGTCAGGATTAAATGGGTTGAGGGAATGGAAGGGCAGTATGGGGAAAGACACGTAACACTAAATGCCTCTGACTGTTTCACAGAAATATGTGTTCATGTAGACTACATCGTATGCTTTATACACGTCTTCAGGCTTATTTTATTTAGGGGATTAGAAATCTGATACTTATTTGATTATCACTCCCTTTTATATAAATTTCTCCAGTACTGGGTTACTCTTGATTAAATGACAGGAATGGAATGTTGCCTGGAGGCCTTTTGTTACTTGCTTTTGAAATATTGAAGAATGTGGTAATCTCTGCCTTATGTAAGCAGTGCAGTGACTGTGTTTGTTGTGGTGGTGGCTGCTATTGTCCTGGAGAATGGTGGAAGGTTCCCAAATAGTTCACACTTAAGTGCCATGCTAGTAAACAGCACTCTTATTAAATTAGAAAAGCCTATTGACTTACATGTCTTCAGGCAAAACAGGACCTGTTTTTAAAGAATCTACCCAAGTGCAGACAATGATGATTCCATTTCTTATTTTGTCCCTCTGTGTTCTCTCAGCGGGGGGTCTGAGTTACAAGACTTTGTGCTGAGTGATGGGGGTGGATGAGGATAGGGCAGCTCATTCCCTCAAGGAGACCCCAGTAAAGGAGGACTAAATCAAATAACCCTGCTATAAAAATGATGCAGCTTAATTTTCTGTGCATGCTTTTGCACACATAAAGCTCTGTATTCTAGCCACAGCCCACATTAACTCGTGAAATACTTGGTTATGGAATATGTGAGAAATAGTGTGTGTCTTAAATGACTGTTAGAAATATCTTGACATGTGTCTACTGAGTGATTAGTACCAGCTGATTGATTGGTTGAGTGAGTGAGTGAGTGAGTGAGTGAGTGAGTGAAGAAAGGAAGGAATTTGGGTGGGAGCAATGATTGGGAGACAAACACTGCTAATGAAAAATGCTCTAAAAGATAAGGCAAAGACATGCAGATCTATGTGAGTTCAAGGCCAGCCTGGTCTATGGATGGAGTTCCCAGGACAGGCTCCAAAGCTACAGAGAAACCCAGTCTTGAAAAAAAAAAAAAGTTGCTGTTGAATTGTAATTCACATCACATAAAATGGTCTCACTATCTTAAGTGAGAAAGCAGGATTGTTCTTATTTACTTTTGTTCTTGTTCTTTGTTGTATTTATAAGGTTGCACCAAACACCAGCGTGGAATTCCAGAGACTCCATGCTTGTTACTCTTTCCCTCTCCCTCCCTCAGTCTATGTTAATGACCAGTGGATATTTTTTTAAATTTGTTTGCTTTAGAACTACATAAAAATAAAAGCCGCTCTTTTAAATTTGTTTAGACACTCCCAGAGACATCTTTGCCAAATTATGCCACAAATTTGAAAGACAAGAGTTCGTTAGTTTCATCTCTCTATAAAGTTATCCAGGAGCCACAAAGTGAGGTAAGTACTTTACCATTTGTATTAATAGTGTTCAGTTGATTATTTTAATTATGAAATATGGCATACATACGTAAAGTAAGAAAATGTATATGTTTGCAAAACAAGAATAAAATACCAAAAACTAGAATCCTTACTATACCCTCAAGTCCATCTTCCTTTGCACTTCCTTCTCTGTGTGTTTCTGACTCTCCGTAGCCTTCCTTGAACAGTCTAGGTCAGTGCGTTAATTATTTTTATTCAGCAAGTATTTATGTATCTACTATGAGCCATTACTGTTGTAGACATTAGGGGCTCAAAGATCAGCGATTGGAGATCTTTATCCCGAGAGAGAAAAGTGGAAGAGGCTAAGCAACCAAGTTTAATTGAGTCTCTTGATACTAGTTTATATGATTGTTTCCTCTAAGACTCTTCTGAAAACTTACCATTGTACCAAATATTTGAAAATGGACCAGGAATATGGTGATGGTAGAGTCCTTGCCTAGCATACACTAGGTTCTGGGTTCAGTGCACAGTATAAAGTTGTTATATCTATATCTATATCTATAAAACACTTCTGAACTAAGGCTCAGGGAACATTGTGGGTGATGGGCAGAAAGATTGTAAGAGTCAGAGGACTAGTAGTTTGCTGTGAGGTTGTGTGTCCTAGTAATGTCACCAACATGACTGCCTAAACATGAGCAGAACAAGGACAACGATAGATGTGCTTAAGTGGGTAGGAAAAAGCCCAGGAAGCCCAGCCCACACAGTAAATTCAGGCAACTGAGGTCTGGGTGAAAGCTGGGAGTGGTGACTTAGGCTATTGTCTCAGCACTTGGGAGACTGAGGCACAAGTATTGTGAATTCAAGACCTGGGATACTGAGCCAGACTCTAACTTTAAAAAAAGGGGGGTAGGAGGGGGGGGAAGCCTTCTTAAAGTTTTCTTTGTTTGATTTAGAACTGCTTCACCAAATAAAATAAATATACTATGTACATTTTTTAACAATTAAATATTATCATTTACTCTAGCGTTTTAAAGGGTTTGAAACATGTTTCTGTTGGTTGGATTTTGAGTAGGCTACTGTGGAAAGTGTTTGTTGTAGGGCCAGTTTCTGTCCAGAGGTTTTAGTTTAGAGCATCCCTTTTGTTGGAGTAACTGTAAGGAATACAGCTCTAACAATTCAGAGGACCAAGGACTCTCCCTTTGCACATTTCCAATCACTCAGACTAATTAATAGTTCACCTGGTCAGCTTGATGTGATGCACATAGCATGGCATATACGAGGTGCCACACAACCCCACCTGCACTCTGCTCAGGGTGGCTGCCACCATCCCCCTGCTTGCTGTGACAGTTTTAAAATGTTTCCTCTCAGTTTCTGTTTGTGTTGCTGGGCACTGGGGACAGTATCAGGATACTCTTCCACCCATGGCCCTTGGAAGCACTGCTGTAGGATGCTCTCCATCTAAGCCTGTTTTGCTTTGATTCTCATTTATGTGGGTGAACATGGCATGTATTCTGTATTCTTAAATTATAGCTTAGTCTTTCAAGTTTATTTAGAAGTGCTTCTGAAATGTAACACTGTAATTGACTTTAACGTTGTTACTTGTTTGCTTTTTAGAGTAGTTTGCCTTTATTGGTAAATATTCCCAAGGAGTTGACACTGTCTTTTGGTCATTTTGAAACTTGGGAGAAATATAAGTTGTGTTGGTATTTGAGGCCTAACAACTTTATCATTTAGGCTTTACTAATGGAATTTTTCCATTATTCAGTTAACAATTGTTTATTGAATGAACATGATGTATTAGGAACTACTAAGGAATATAGGCAAGAAAAAGTAGACCAAATTCCTGATGTTATAGAACAGAATTTATGTTCCCATAGATGAGATAGAAATTAGACTGAATTTATAGTGGTTTTAGTAAAGCAGAGGAGGGAGGTGTTTGCTGAGACCAAGAAAGTGACAGAGAACTAGGGACAAGGGCAGTAGGTGCAAAGGCCCTGAGGTGTGTACACATTTATATTCAAGAACTTATAAAAAGCAGTTTACATATAATGTAGTTTGCTCAAATGGTGGTTTTAGTCCTTAGGGAGCATTTTGTGCCATACTTCTGTATCTAAACATATCTCTTAACACACACACAGATTTCTTTCTTACTAGTGGATGTCATGGAAGTCTCATTGTAACTCAGTTGTTTTAGAACGCAGTATTCTTTTTCATTATTTCCACAGTAATGAGTTTCATGATGACATTTCCATATATGAATATGTTTATCATAGCCAACCTCTCTATTACTTTTCTGAATCTCCCCTCCCCTCTCTTTTCCTCATCTATCTCCCCATAGCCCCCACCTATGCAAGCAGTTCCTGGCTTTCTGAGAGCACTTGCCTTGCCTGTGACAATGATCTATAGTCCATCTGTTTATCTGTTTGATTTTATTCATTATGGTTGAATAAAACTCCATTTTCTGTATGCAGCACATTTCTTTACCATTTTTTATTTTTTATTTTTTTATTTTTTGGTTTTTCAAGGCAGGGTTTCTCTGTGTAGCTTTAGAGCCTGTCCTGGCACTCACTCTGTAGACCAGGCTGGCCTCGAACTCACAGAGATCCGCCTGCCTCTGCCTCCCCAGTGCTGGGACTAAAGGTGTGTGCCACGAATGCCCGGCACTTCTTTGCCTTTTATCTATTGATGCTGCGGCACCTAGACCAAGCCCATGATTGTGAATAGTGCCGTGGTAAACATGGGTCTGCAGGTGTCTTTATCATAAGCTGACTCAGATTCCTTTTGGTGCATACCCAAAAGTGATATATCACAGTTGGTTTTTTGTTTTTCTGAGAGACTTCTCTGTGGCTTTGGAGTCTGTCCTGGAACTCGCTCTGTAGACGACCAGGCTGGCCTTGAGCTCACAGAAATCTATCTACCTCTGCCTCCTAGGTGAGGAGATTAAAGGTGTGCTCCACCACCGCTCAGCCACAGTTCTATTTTTAATATTTGGAAATGTTGAGTTTTTTTTTTTTTTCTTTTTTGTTTCTTCAGTGCTGAAAACTGAACCCAGGGCCTTGTTCATGCTAAGTGCATTACCACTAAGATATACAATCCTAACCAGAACTCAGGGTGTGCTTGAAAACAGACAGTGAATATGTAATGATTAGGTTCTCATTAGACTCACAAAAAGGTCATTTAGGAGGCTGAGGTAGCTTGTGAAGTGTTTTCTATGCAGGCATGAGGACCTGAGCTTGGTCCCTAGAGCCCATGAAAAACCTTGGAATGGTGCTGCAGGCCAGCAATCCCAGTGCTTGGGAGGGAGATCACTGGGGCGTGGCCATTCAGCCAGCCTAATTTTCAAGCTGTCCCCAAAACCAAGGTAGATGCCACCTAAAGAACCACAGTTGAGGTTGGCATTTGCCTTCCACGTGCATGAGTGTGCATGCGCGCGCACACACACATACACACACACACACACACACACACACACACACACACACACACACGTACACACATTTACTTAATATATGTATTTGAGGTACAGGCTTATCTTAACAGTTCTTTAATAACCTAATGACCATGTGACAATGTTTCCATGAGGAAATATATTCCAAAATGTGCCTGAGCCATTAGCAACCCAACATGCTCAATTGCATACCTAAAATTGCCTAGATTTCTCACGTTATATATTATTATTTTGTGACATTTGTAAGAATCAGATCTGGCTCCTTTCTGGCTCTTGTGAATGTGTGCTGTCTGTCATGGTCTTCATTTCCTTATATGAACAACATGACTGATCATATTCTACTTACAGTGTAATGGGAATTAATGTTTCTGTATGAATAGTACTTTGCAAGCTGTAAAACATCAAACAGATGTTGGTATTTATCTGTATTGGCTTCAAATGCATAATTTTATTTAATCTTTTTGCAACTTGATTTTTTTCTTCTCTTTAAAATCTGTCTTCATTTAATTCTGCTTTCATTAAGCAAAAATTCTTTTAATTTGGTATTTGAAACTGGTTATAAAGACTCTGAGTGTGTTTTGATTAAAATTGATTATGTGTTCTTACAGAGTGTCTTGAATGAATTTTCTAGCAAGGTTCATAATTGCAAATACTTGTTAAACTTAACCAAGCTTCATGAATTGATTCAATTAAGGCTTGCTTGGGGATTTGGTAACATGAGTGTTGGGTTGCAGTACAGTCACTTAGGTCTTTTGTTTTATTTGAGTCAGTCTTACCTTTTGCCTTCTAACCATTGTTGTGATTTGGGAAAAAAATATCCCTTATGGAAGAGTAGCTGTCAGAGGTGGATGTGTTTGACTTAATACTTAGTTTACTTATTTAGTCTATTTGAAATAAAAATTTATACTATCTCATTGGTTTCTCTTTGTTGTAATTATTAGTAATAGAAATCTACTTGATAGCTTGATTTAATTTGTTGTCTGCTAATGAGATATATTGTTTATTCAAGTTTCCTTGAAAAAACAGTACCTGTGACTCTCCTGAAGCATCTGATCATGCTTTGTGTTTGATCACGGTCTATGACTTAAAGTAACACTTGAGAGACATGAGAGTCTCTTAACTTGCTTGTCTGATTTTTAGGAGTCTTTAATAAAGGTAGAGTTAGCTGTACTAACATAGTGTACAGTGGGAAAGAAAAAGGCTGTAGATGATTGCAACTTATGTGTAAACCCAGGGGCAGTAACCATGGCTTCAGCAGGGATTTGGGTGTAATGTCTCAATAACTGCTCCACACACCAACCGTTGCACACATGGGAGCAAGTAGTGGGCCAGGATTCTCTTGGCTTCTTCTGCTCTGTAGATGATCCCATATATGTTGACCTATAATTTACTAAGAAGGAAGGCATTAAGGAAGAGATGCCCTATAGCTTAGCTGAGAGGTAAGATGACATGACTTAAGTAAGAGAACTTGTTGAGAGCTGTGGAGCATCTTGCTGACATGTTATACTGTTCCTCCCTCCACTAGAATTTAAAGCTTTCTGAAATTGCTGGGCAGTTTTGCTTCAGGGGAATTAAAATATTTGTATATTTCAGAGTTAATCTTTCTGAGAAACCTTTTCTAATTCATACAGTGGTGTCATTCACATACAGTCCAGTTCATGTTTTCCATGTCATCTTCTTCCAGTTGCTAGAGCCTGTGTGTCACCAGCTCTTTGAGTTCTACCGCAGCGGGGAGGAGCAGCTGCTACGGTTCACCCTGCAGTTCCTCCCGGAGCTGATCTGGTGCTACCTCGCCGTGTCAGCCAGCAGAAATGTGCACAGCAGTGGCTGCATAGAGGCCCTTCTTCTAGGGGTTTACAACCTGGTTTGTATCTGACAGATTAACAAAATGCTTTTTGGAAAACTGCTTTTCATTTTAGTAAAATCACTGTTCATTTAAAGAAGGACTAGCATGGTGACATGTGCCCTTAGTCCCAGCATTGGGAGGCAGAGGCACACAGATCTACTTGAGTACGAAGTCAGTCTAGTCTACAAAGCAAGTTCCAGGACAGCAAAAGAAAAAAGAAAAAAGAACCTAATAGTATTGGGACATCTATATAATTATCTAAACAAACTTGTATGGGTTGAGTGAAAGCTGAAACTCAGAGCATTTGAGTTATAGAAATAGCAATAATAATAAAAAATAATAATAAAGTTATATAGAGATAGCAATAATGATAGAGTTCTCTTGTAGAGATTGCAATAATAATAATAATAATAACAATAATAGTAATGATAATAATAATAATAACAATAACAATAATAACAATACCACCAGTGGGGGTTTATTTCATTGTGTTTAGTGGCTGGGTCTCACAATGTATCCCTGGCTGGCCTGGAATTTGCTATGTAGAACAGACTGGCCTCAAACTCAGAGATCTGCCTGTCTTTGACTTTCAAGTGTTAGGATTAAAGACCTGTGCTGCCATGTGTAGCTACTGTTGTATTTAAAATTTTTTACTTACTATGCATTTCAGTTTATCTACAAGTGGTCTGTTTTTTTACCTTCACAAAAAAATCAGTCGGAAGACCTCATGTGAGACTCACTAGTCACACTTTGTAAGTCTCCACTGCTTCCTAAGCATGAACATTCTGTTTAACTGTGTGTATCTTTCATAGCGTGAGCATCGGTTAGGAGATAACATGCTAGATACTTACGGTTTGTGTTCTTTAAGATGGAAAAGAAAGGTGGGGTCCATTTGTAGACACACTTCATGTTTAATTGACTTAGAGAATAGAACTTGTTATCGAAGAATTACTATACTGTCTGTACCGCAGCTGTCCTGAAAACAATGGAATTGTTTAGTCAGGTTTTTTCTATAGTGAACTACAGTGCTCTGCTCTGCTTTTGTTTTTAAAAATGCAGCCATGTACATGTTAACTACTGATGCTAATGGGTAATTGATAGTGGACCGCCAATCTTTAAAGATTCTTAACTGATTTTATAATTCCTTTTATTCTGGTCCTTTAAAAAATTGTCTTAGAGGGAAGAAAGGAAAGGGAGAAATGTAATTAATATTATAATCTCAAAAAATTATGCTTAGAAAAATTGTCCTGATAATTTCATTTTTAAAATGTTATGTGTTAAAGGTGACTATTTTAAGATATTTTCTTTTACTTTTGTAGGAAATAGTTGACAAACAGGGACATAGTAAAGTATTGAGTTTTACAATTCCATCTTTATCCAAACCATCTGTATATCATGAAGTAAGTAGTTTTTTTTATTGAAGTAAATTTATTGGGTCCTAAGCTCTCATAGTCCCATAAATTAGGGTGTAGTTACCTGTGTATAAAGGTGTATAATTAGTGCCTCAAAAGGTACTAATTAGCACCACACAGAGTGAATACTGTTCCAAAAATAAGTCAAAATCACTAAGCAGTGAACTAAGATCTAATAGTGAGAGCCTTATTGCAGTTTTTTTTTTTTAATCTTCATTTAATGGGTAAGACTCACTTTAATTTGAGTGTATGTGGGGTGGGTGGACAATTGTGTACTCCATGATAGAATTTGGGAATTAAGCTTTCTGATTTTCATTTGTGAAAATGTTTTTAATTTTTAATTAATGAAAATATGAAAGTGTTTAATTTTTATTAAATCTTGAAGTGGAATTCGATAGGCAGTCTGAATATTTGTAAGCTATATGATGTCCCTAGTAGGCACTCTCTGTGCTTTGTGTCACATTTAACAAAACAGCGTCTTTTCTTTAGCCTTCCAGCATTGGGTCTATGGCTCTGACTGAGAGTGCACTATCCCAGCATGGCTTATCAAAAGTTGTGTACAGTGGGCCCCATCCTCAGAGGGAGATGCTGACAGCACAGAACAGGTATACTGTGAAGAGCCAGCTCTTCTACCACACCAAGTTGTTTAAAAACTGTATCAGGGGAAGGTCGGTTGGGGAAAGGACAGAGAGGGAGAACAAGGAAAGAGATACCTCGATAGAGGGAGCCATTGTGGGGTTAATGAGAAACATGGCACTAGGGAAATTGTCAGGAATCCACAAGGATGACCCCAGTTGAGAACTAAGCAATAGAGGAGAGGGTGCCTTAAATGCCCTTCCCCTATAAACAGATTGATGACTGCCTTAAATGCTATCATAGAGCCTTCATCCAGTAATGGATGGAAGCAGATGCTGAGATGCACAGCTAAGCACTGGGCTGAGCTCCTGGAGTCCAGTTGTAGAGAGGTTGGAGTGATATATGAGCAAAGGAGTCAGGACCATGCTGGGGAGATTTACAGAGACAGCTGACCCATGCAAGTGGGCGTCACTGACTCTAGACTGACAGTTGGGGAACGTGCATGGGATCAAACCAGGGCCCATGAATGAGGGTGACGGGGAGCATGGACAGTCTATGGGGCCACTGGCAGTGGCACCAGCATTTAGCCCTAGGGCAGGAACTGGCTTTTTGGAGCCCATTTCCCATGGAGGGAGGCCTTGCTCAGTCTGAATGCAGTCAGGGAGGGCCTTGGTCCTGCCTCAAATGATGTAACAGACTTCCATAATTCCCCTTGGGAGGCCTTGCCCTTTCTGAGGAGGGGGTTGGAGTGGAGTGGGCTGGGGTGGGGAAGTCTTTGTTACTTGCAAAGACTTCATTTTCCTTTGAGTTTTCCTTATATATTTGTAATGTGTAAGTCAGTTCTATCACACAATATCTGTTAACATTCCTTTGGTTTGCCTTCAGGTTTGAAGTGTTGACATTCCTTTTGTTGTGTTACAATGCTGCCTTAACCTATATGCCCAGTGTTTCTCTTCAATCACTGTGTCAGATTTGCTCAAGGTAAATTTAAATTCGTATTTTTAATACTGGAGTATATGAATGTAAGACTACTAGTTTGTTACATACCTAAGTTATTTTTGTTTTGTGTAGTTGTTTGTTTAAAACATTATATAATTGAATATACATTTCAGCCCACCAAAGCGCATAGAAGGTGGCTTAGAAATAGTCGCTACCAAAAAACCACAGTGATGAGTATCCAACTGAGTAATGTTTGGATGGAATATTAAATCAGAGGGCTTATATTACTATATTACATTTAAAATGATGGCATGGTCATAACCTTTTAATTTGTGGAATGTGATTGGGTATTCCTTTTTGTCTTATTTTTTTTTGTGGTGCCAAAAAATAAGAGAAACATGGCATTATGTTTTTCTTCCTTTAAAAAAATAGAATTAAATTTTTGTTGAATAATTTTTAAAATTTGGGGAATATTATGCAAATATTAAAATCTTGATTTAAGCATTTTTAGCATTTGAACATTTAATAGTATATGTGGTATGGTATGTTACAGCTCTTATATTTGCTAAATATGGTCCAAATGATAATAATACTTCATTTTATTGAGAGCATTATGAAATAATTTTATTTTCCTTTGTGATACTCCATGACTCTCTAGTTTTCTATGGTTAACATTTTTAAAACAATAAACAAAACAGAAACAACTGAGATTTTTACCTTTTACAAGTCAAGTAAATAAGGGCAATTATGGAGTTAAGGAAGTTAGGTGGAGATTCATATTTGAGTAATTTATTCAGTACATAACAATTAGCCAGAAGAAGGGCATATCGGTTAACTTTTCCCATTGCTGTGACAAAGTACTGACAAAAGCAGCTTAATCCACGAAGAGACTGTTTGGCTCATCCTCTCAGAACACAGTCTATCCTGACAGAAGCCATGGTGTTGAGAGGCTTGTAGCTGTAGACTGGCTGCCACCGGAGGAAGCAGAGAGAGACGTCCACTGGTCCTTTGTGTTCTTCCCTGCCAAACCCGCACATGGAATAATGCTGCCCACGTTCATTGGGGCGGTGTTCCTTCCAGTTAAACCCCTCTGAAAGCATCCTCACAGATGCTCCAGGACCCCGAGGCATGCAGTCCTAGGTGACTCTAAATCCTCAGGCACAGTGTGAAGTAATCTTTTCTGAACAGCCCTCTGACACTGCACTGCTCCCACCTTGGGCGAGGGAGTCAGTGCATGTCGTTTACTTCATTTAATAACAGGTGTCAGAAGAAGAGAACAGGGTGCTGGGAATCGGGTTCCTCTGAGGGGAGGCTCGAGCTTCCCAGAGGCCCTTTTCTCCCCACCCCAACTGTGGGCACTTGGCGTAAGAAGTAGGGGGCAGAGATAGGACGTGATGAACAACACTCACGAGGCTGCACAGACTCTGGTGGACTCTTGTGAGTCCATTTTAGACCTGTGGAAGGGCAGGGCTGTGCTAGACCCCAGTTAAGCCTGGAGATTTGGTGGGTCTGGCCTTAGGCATTGCCTTTCTCTTTCTTAGCTTTGGCCTTTGCGGTGCAGGCTGGTCACACAAATGGTCTCCTGGCCCTGAGCATTGTACCAGCCTTCCTTGGCGAGCCTCGGGGGGGGGGGGGCAGCTTGGTGCCTGTGCTCCAAAACTTGAGCTTGCAGATGGCTCAGATTTCTTCTTCCAGTTGCAGGGCCCCCTGCATCGGATGTGTTGGGTCTAGGCTTTGCAGGTGCATGCGTCTACATTGCTGTCCTTGCAGCCTGAGGGTGCAGGGCCCCCAGGTCCACTCCATGCACCTAATCTTGGTGGGGCTTAGTGTTGGGAAGGTGAGAAGGGCTAGAAGGAGACCTCTGTGCTGCAGCTCACTTGGTGCCTGCATTGCTTCTCGTCACAAGTTTTAGTTTTATTCAGGTTACTTTCTTTGAAAAAAATAGCAAAACCTGTTGATTTCTCTTCAGAATTCTCTCTCAGGTGTTGTGTTTAGACAGGGTATAAATAGTATGTATGCTCTGGAACTCACCATAAAGACCAGGCAGGCCTTGAACTCACAGGTATCTGTCTGCCTTCGCCTCCCAAGTGCTCGGATTAAAGGTGTGCATCACTGTGTCTAGCAGGAGCATTAAATTATTTTATATGTCTGAAATCTATTGTGGATATTTAATGAAATGAGTCTAAATTATAGTAATTTTTCTGATCCTGTGGTTTGTACCAAAAACTTAATCAGGAATTAAAGATTATTCTGAAGATCTGTAAATGACAAGATCCATGTAATGTTGCCCAGAATTATTGATAATTAAATTGATCAAAATTAGTAAATCAACCAGCGAGTGTCTGATTCACCAGCTGCATACATTATATCACCTTTGTCTATACAAGCATTTCCCAGTCTAACATATTCAGGAAAATGTTACAGGCAAATGTTCTGTTTGGGAGATAGTTTTATAGATATTACATTTGTTATTTTTATTGTTGGCTCATAAATATTAGAAAATCATCTGCACTAATGAATATGTTTATCTTGGCCTTTCCAGAATCTGTGTCTGTGGATATCCTCGACAACACATCAGAAAATACAAAGGTGTAAGTAGCAGGGTACCGATTTCATCCGGATTCATGGTGCAGATGCTAACAGGAGTCTATTTTGCCTTGTAAGTGTGTCTCATATACAAAGCACACTGTTGGTTCTTTGGCATATTATAGCTTGCCAGTCTGTTTCCTTTTCTTTTTATTTCTTTTCTTTTCTTTTGATACAAGGTTTCTCTGTATGACAGTTCCGGCTATCCTGGAACTTGCTCTGTAGAACAGACTGGAATTAAAGGTTTGCACCACCACTGCCCTGCACCAATCTGTTTCTACAACAATGTAATCTCAATAAGATAAATAATCATCTTTTTTTTTTTTTTTTGAGACTAGGTTTCTCTGTATAATAGTGCTGTGTATCCCGGAACTCAATTTTGTAAACCAAACTGGCCTCAAACTCACAGAGATTCACCTGCCTCTGCCTTCCGAGTGCTGAGATTAAAACATGGGCCACCACCTGACCAACTGTCATATTTTTATGAAAGGATAGGAGTCAAGTTTTTTGTTTGTTTGTTTGTTTGTTTGTTTGTTTTTTCAAGACAGGGTTTCTCCGTAGCATTGGAGGCTGTCCTGGAACTAGCTCTTGTAGACCAGGCTGGTCTCGAACTCACAGAGATCCGCCTGCCTCTGCCTCCCGAGTGCTGGGATTAAAGGCGTGCACCACCACTGCCCGGCAAGAGTCAAGTTCTTAATACTTTTTTATCATTAAAAACATGTATTTTAAAGTTGTGAAGAATTTCAAACTGACTAAAATACTTCATCATTTTTAAAAAATTCAGGGTCAGAATGAAAATGGCTAAAATGTCAATTTGCTTAGTTCTTCTATACATGACTTTTTTTTTTTTGCTATGGTTTTCAAATTGGATTTTTAAAGTCCCAATGAATATTTTTTTCTAGAAATATTAGCTATTCAAAAGCACTTTAGAGAATCGTCAGGTACCAGTATATATCTGGATCCTGTCTTGTACTGTGTAATTCTCAGGTTACACAGATGATAAGGCACTTTACATTATTTTCACTTGATACTTTAATTTATTCTGGTAGATAATAAGCTTCTTGAATCAGGATGAATTTATGACTTAGGCCAAATCTGGCCTGCACTTTGTAAAGTTTTACTGAGACAGAGTTGTATTCCTGTGTTTGCACACTGGCTGTGGCTGTCTTCCTGTTGCAATGGCAGAGCTGAGTAGTTCTGATAGAGGGGGCATGTCCACAATTTAAAACATTGGATTTGGGAGTTTGCGTTGTTGTTAGAGACAGTGTGGCCTTGAACTCCTAACACTATATAATTCCTCCCAAATCCTGAGATTATAGATGTGTTACCATGCCTAGCTCTAAAATACTTGTTTACTGGCCCTTAAAAGAGTTGTTTTGTTTTTTTTTTTTTTTTTTTTTTTTTTGGCTTTGTGTTAGATCGTGAATATTGCCCCACAGGGCTTGAATGCTCTATTTTTTTCTTCTCATTTCATTTTGAGTACTGGAACTGGAGAGATGGCTCAGCAGCTAGGAGCACAGACTGCTCTTCCAGAGGTCCTGAGTGGTGGCTCACAACCATCTATAATGGGATCTCATGCCGTCTTCTGGCATGCAGATATACATGAAGACAGAGCACTCACACATAAAAAAAATAATTTTTTAAAAAAGTGGATCATTTTGAGTGTCTTCTGTTGATGTGTTTCCATCCTTAGCTTAACTTTTCTGTGACTTAGTAGACTTGATCTGTGGTCTACTCCAAGGCCATTGAAGGTTTTTCATTTCTTACTGTGTTTTGCTTCTACTCTTTTGTTCTGCTCTTTCTTATAGAGCATATCTCTTCTGAAATCTGTATTTGTGTGTGTTCCCAGGCTTTTCCACCAGAGCATTTAAAATATTGATCATAGCAATTTAAGTTGCCCTAAATATTTGGGTAACCTTTGGACTTAGTTCTATTATTTATTTAGTGGTATTGTGGATTGAACCCAGTGTCTCATATAAGTACTCTAACACTTACCTGTATCTCTGGCCTTGAATTTAATTCAATTAATTACTTCATTTATTGACAGGGTTCTTTGTTCTTGTTTATAGTATGCCTTGTAATTTTTTATTGTTCATTATTTGAATCAATAGTAGGGCAGTAGAAACTGATATAAATATGATTTATGCCTGAAAATAGGAATGATTCTTTTTCAAGGGTACTAATGAAATTTTATAGGCAGTGCTATGACACTGTTAGAGTCAGAGCCCAGGGCCCTGGCAGCCTTAACAAGAATTAGTAAAAAGCAGAAAAAGCTGGGGGAGGGGGAGGTAGGAAAAAGAGAAGGGGAGAAGAGGAGAAGAGGAGGGGGAGGAGAACAAGAGGGATCAGGAGGACTGAGACGGGAGGAATAGAGGAGGCAAGAAAGGAGATGCCCTGATAGAAGGAGCCAGTATAGGTTTAGAGAGAGGTCTGGCACAGGGGAAATGTTCAGGGATCCACAGGGATGACCCCAACTAAGAATCTAGGCAGTAGTGGAGAGGCTGCTTTTGATGTCCTTCCCCTATAATGAGATTGGTGACTACTTTGGTTGCCATTCCTAGAGCCTTCATCCAGTAGCTGATCAAAGCAGAAGCAGACACCCACAGCTAAACACTGAGCCATACTCCCAGAATGCAGTTGTAGAGAGGGAGGAGGGGTGAGCAAAGGAGCCAAGACGGTGCTGGAGAAACCCCCAGAAACAGTTAACCTGACCTAGTGAGAGCACGGAGACCCTAGTCATAAAGCTGGGGAACTAGCATTGGATTGAACCAAGCCCTCCAAATGTGGGTGCCAGCTAGGAGGCCTGGGCAGTCTATGGGACCTCTAACAGTGGAGCCAGTGTTTTTTTCCCTAGTGCACAAATGGAGTTTGGCAGCCCATTCCCTATAGAGGGATACTCTTGCAGCCCAGATATATGAAAGAGGGAGGGCCTGGGCCCTCCCCCAAATGATGTGACAGACTTTGATGATCCCCCATGAAGGTCTCATTATCCTTGGGGAGTGAGTGGGGGGTCAGTGGGGAGCATGGGATGGGGAGGGAGGGAATTGGGGGATTGATATGTAAAATTAGATTGTTTCTAAAATTAAAAAAAAAAAAAAGCAGAAAAAGGAGTTCTACTCAGTGTAGCCGTATTGGGAGAGGAGCAAATTATAGCAGACAAAGGGATACATTGCTGCAGTCCACCCTTGTGGATCCATCATTGTCTGTTCCAGGCTCTCTTGCAAGGTGTGGTGACCAGTTGTCAGACTGTTGACTTGTATTCCTGGAGATGAGCTCCCTCTCTGGCAGCAGGCACTGCAGCCTCAGTCCTTTTCTTCTCCCAGCATGAGACTGTCGAGGAAACTAAGTTTCTTGGGGTCCCCAGTTTCAATGGGCAGGTAGCCAAAGGGAAGGGCACAGGTGTCTGTCTTTGTTCTTGCCAGGATGGTTTCAGCAGGGTTTGCATTGCTGTTGCCATAGTTACATTCATACTACAAATCTCCTGCTCTTACCTAGTATTTCAGTGGGAGCTGGATTGCTGAAGAGTTTCCGTCCTTCAGTTCTCTCTGTATGCCTTGAAAAGGGCCTCTTCCCCCTTCTTTAGCCTCCTTCAGCAATGGACTGTTACTCCTTATTTCTTAATGTACACTAGCTTGACGGTGATGGGGATGGAATGCCAATCAGTGTTCTAGGGAGACTTCTTGTCCCTGAGTGATGTGTGTGCAGGGGTAGGGGCAGGGTAGGGGGTGGTCCTCAGTGCTCTTGCCTCTCCTTCAGAAGTAGAGAACCCTTAGTTCTCTTACCATAGAATGGGGTTTATATCCTCTTTTTCTCCCCTCAGAGCCATAGTTCCTCATCAGCTATGCCCTGGGGGTTATGGGTTAATAGAATTGGCTATTCTCTCCCCTAAAAGCTGTAGAACTTTTGTTCATGGGGGGAAAAAAAGTGTCTGGCAGGGTCCTTGTGCTTTCCCATGGCAGTGACCGCTTTGCTCCTTCAAGCCTGCACTGTAGGGTAAAAGGGTTAATCAAAGAAACCTGACTTTGGCCCTGAAATCAGAACCATCTCTGCCCCTGATTAGATCAAACAGGAAACCAACCAGTCCCTGAGCAGCCTGACTGAACCCAGAGCCAGTGAAAGAAACACACCCAGGATCTGAAACATAAGCCAGTGAAGGAAACACTTTATTCCTGAACCCAGAACCAAATAAAAACATCCTGATTTTGAAACCAGTGCCAAAGAAACATACGTTGTCCCTGGAATCACAGCTAGTGAAAGAAATACACCCTGACCCTCAAATTAGAGACAAATGGAAAACAAACAAACAGACAAAAAAACAGTTTGGCCCTGAAATCAAAGCCATCTCTTCCTGTGACCATTAAACTAACCAATCCCTGATCAGGAAAACCTCTCCCTGGGAAAACTCCTGCCCCTAAGAAACCCTATATAAGCTCCCTGTCTGTTCAGTTGTGGCCTGTCCTTTCCCGCCCTGGCAGAGGCAGCCACTCTCATGGACTCCTCCTTCCCAAAGAAATCTCTTTCTCCAAAGTCTTGGGTGAAGATCTTCATTTGCTGGTGCAGAACAGAAGAACTTGCTGAGACTTTCCCTGTTGCTGAGCAAGTCTGTAGCAAAAAAAGGTCACAACTTTTCAACTGAGCCTGAGGAGATTGCTCCATTTAGCAGAATAGCTGAAGAAGTACTATCATGGGGTAACAGAGCAGAGCTCAGCTGTAGCAGCTCTCTCCAGGAGAGGAGCAGGATTGCTATATCCTGTGGGGAGACCATCCCCCACAGCACCCCAGCTTCAGAGAGTCTGGCGCCTTATAAGTCAGGATGCCATTCTCTCCAGGGCGGAGCTGTCCTGTTGCAGCTCCAGCCTTCAGAGCCCAACAAGTCAGGATACCTTTGTAGCTCCAGAGTAGTACCACTCACACTTGCTCACATTTTAGTGCTAAAACCAGGTTTCCTGTGCGTACCTACAGGGGGTTTGTGGGGAAGCCTGTGTGGCGGTGTGTACTGTCCATGTATGTGCTCCAGAGTTTTTGTGCTGCTAGCTCCAGAACCAGCTGTGTGGTGTGTTAGAACTTGTTAGAAAACTTAGCTGAATGATCCCTATTTGATGCCTAATGGCCCTCCCTCCTTTGGGTCCAGACTGTTTGGTTGCCCTGTGCCCTCAGCTCTATGATGGATTCATTAGAAGTCATGATTTTGGAGATAACCTGAGTTTATCTTGGCCTTAGGCTGGAAGTAATGCCTTTCCCTATCAGGCCTCACTTGTACTCTTGATGTAATTCACATTTCTTTACTTTGTTGACAGATGACCAAACCATTATATCTCTGCTGACTTTTATCACTCATTTGGTTTTTTAGGAAGGGTTTGCTATATTGTTGAAAGTTATACATATATAATACACGCATGCTGATTTTCTTTACTTCTCTCTCATGTTCACAACATGTGTTATGTTCCCTTCTAAATAGCCTTCCTAAGGCAAAGGAGCAGCTACTTAGGAAAGTGGGTAGGGCTGGGTTCTCATTAAAACCATGGAAACTACAGAGTAATTTGAACATAAATTGTTTGAAACATTATTCTAAAGTATATAATTTATTATGTTCTTCTGAATTACTTTGACAGTGTAAGGTGCTTTGAAATTGCCTTAGCTATTTGATTTCTGTTCTATAAATAGTCATGTTCCTTAGAGAAAAAATGTACATGTATAAAATATTCTTTGCTATTAATAGGCTTTCAGATAATAGGAACTCTATGACTTAAAATGCATTCTTAAGGAGAATATGGTGGTAAGCGGTGTGCTGATGTGGTCTGTTGCTTTCGTTAGTAGAGATAAATAGTTCCTCATTATGTTTTGTTCTGTTATAGGATAAATTAAAAATTCTTTCTCTGTTTAACTCCCATGATTTTGTAGATACAATGGAGAATGGGATCTAGCTCAGAAAGCATTGGATGATATTATATACAGAGCCCAGCTAGAATTATATCCAGAGCCACTGCTGGTAGGTTCCTTGATTAAGTATGCAAATTTTAACTTATAATTTTCCAGTTTAGAGCTATGCATTGAGAAGTAATTCATAGCATATTAAAATGTCATTATTACTCAGTGTTTCATGCTGTGTTGTACTGGGGAATATTACATTTAAAAGCACCTGTATATAATTTGGAGATTTAATTAGACTCACTTAAGATGTTTAACTGATAGTATTTTCTTTTGCTTATAAGAATTTCAACATATAGATACATTTGTCAATTAGCACTCAATTTTGAGAAAGAAACCTAGCTTAATATCTAACAATCACAAACCACATCCCATTCATACTGTTTTAAAGTATAAGCATTTGTCTGACCCTCTTACTCCTTATTGGTGGGTATGTGGATCATCATATAAATACCTTGGGGAAAGTATTCTTTTTATAAATTTATTGTCACTTAGTTTTATATTTTATCAAAAAGTAAATACTACAGATGTTTATTGATCTTAAAATTTATTTTTCCTTTTAGGTTGCTAATGCAATAAAGGCTTCATTGCCTCATGGTGCCATGAAATCTAGTAAGGAAGGTACAAGGTGTATTCAAGTTGAAATCACACCAACTTCCTCTAGAATATCAAGAAATGCAGTTACCAGCATGTCAATAAGAGGTCACAGGTGGAAAAGACATGGTAAGAACTCTTCAGATTTGAGCATTGGTAGCTCTTTCACATGTCACTCTGCGATTGTGGTGCTAGAACTTGTAACTTTAGGAAATAGCACCATTGTAGCATAGGAAAGAAAATGCTATCTCATGCACTTTGACTCCTGGCTTCTCATCCAGGGGCAATAGGCACTGAGGGGAAGGGATGGTCTTACGTTACATATATGAATGAAGAATTGTGTAAAATTTTACTCGCTTCTTGCAGTAGAGTAGGAGAGTAACAAAAATACATTTTAACTGCTCATGTATTTTAAGTTGCTATTCTTGAGTAGTTGAAAACGGCCCTTACTGAATGTTCTTACTCCTCAGTCAGGAATTTAGTGTGCAAGTTTTTTCACATTGGAGTAAAACTACCAGTAATCTTACTTAAGTTCTGTTTGGACTCCCTGGCAAAGAATGCCATGCTGTTGATACAACACCAGGCATTTCTACTTTACAGATTCCTTTTCATTCAAGATTGCTTATTTAAGATTCCTTGTCAGCTTCGTTTTATATTACAATGTTGCTGGAAGTTAATTTCACTTGTCCTGCTATCTCCATGCTATCCCATTCCTCTCTCTTCTTGTTTAATCTACTGCTTGTTTAATTCTTCCTTCCTGTTACAACTTCTTTCCTAGCAGTTATAGTAGCAAGAACCAGAGGATTAATATCGCCCTCCTTAGATGGGACCTTTGCATGGGAGGCAGAAAGCTACTTCTTAGCCCCAAGTGAGCCTGCAGTGTGTGTTAAGCAGAAAACCTACTCTGCCTTCTTCCTCCTGTTTACTGAAATGAAAGTTGCAGCTCAGCTTGGTAGACTATAACTCATATCAGTGTTCTTTGAGGAGAAATGGGAAAAGAAAGCATCATAACAGATCATAACGCAGAAAGCTGATCCTGACTGAGAAGGCTTTCCATTTCCCCTTCATACATGCTAAGAGAGATACGCCAAAAGAAGAACAAGAGTGAAGTTATACAATTTAACCAATGATTATTTTTGATCCTACTCATTTTAAAGTTACCATAGCCCTGAAGGTCCAACAGGGAGACATAAAAGAGGTGGTGATGTTTGCTATTAGGCAAGTATACCTGCAAAATCCACTTAAACTTGCCAACCCCAAACAAACTTCATTTTCTTCAGTGAAGTTGTGCTGTTAAATGGGAATACATTACAGAAAGAAAGTAATCTAATGGATATGTGGTATGCTAAAGGTCAGTGGTTTTTGTTCGGCTTCATTGTATGAGAAGTAGGTGGAGGTACAACAAGCCAGATTGTACTGGCCTTTGTGGACATGTGGACATAATCACTCTCAAACTACTGCTTCTGAAAAGTGCAAGAATTAATTCTAATTTCTTTTCTGCTTTCCCTTCTTGCTGTTTAGATGGACATATTGGGAAGGTGGGGGTCATACAGTTCAAATGTGAAAGACATTTTGATGCTTGTGTGTGTGTGTGTGTGTGTGTGTGTGTGTGTGTGTGTGTACGTGCCCACGTATACATTTGGGGCGGGGGTGAGACCTGGTTTCTCTGTAGCTTTGGAGGCTGTCCTGGAACTAGCTCTTGTAGACTAGGCTGGTCTCGAACTCACAGAGATCTGCCTGCCTCTGCCTCCCGAGTGTTGGGATTAAAGGCTGGCCACCACTGCCCGGCCAGGTATACATTTAAGACAAAGAAATACATATTCTGCAACAAGATGAAAGTTATTTTTCAGAAACATTATATAGGAAAAAGTAACCAAAACAAAATAAAAGACTACTTGCATACATTGTATCTGTTATGTTTTTATGGGTCTCTGTTCCATTTTGACTGCTACTTGCAGGTTTGTATTCTGTTTCAGGCTACAACATCATTTAAGTAGCTTTTTTATTTCTTGTTTATTTAGCCTTCACATCACTCAAGCACCTCTTGTTTATGATAGCAAAAATGTCATAGGTGAGAAAATAGAAGAGAATGATCTCTAGAAAGAAAAAAAGGCACAGTCATGAGCAGATAGAGGATGTGGATTAGCCTGTAATAAAATGTACTTGTTTAGTCTTATTTGTGTCTATAGGTGAGCTGCAGTATCCTTTTTAAGAGTAGTTAGTCTTGCTTCTCCTTCTTAGTGAGTTTCTGTTGCTATAACAAAATACTCTAAACACCTCCCACTAGGCCCCTCTTCTGAAAAATTCCACTGCCTCTCACATTATCACGCTAGGAGCCTGGCATCCAGCGCTAAACCATATAGAAACCACACCTTCATAGAGAAGCACTGTTCATGAAGTTACCATGGATAGGTATTACTTTAGAGAAATCTATTAGACAATTAAGTGCATGGTGATCTGATCTCCACATTTTTTCTCTTGATTCTTTTAATATTATAGTGAAATGCTTCATTCAATGTTGGGCCTTTCAAATTCTTCAGGTCTTGTTTTTAAGTCTTTGAAAAGGTCTTAGTGATTCAGTCTATGTCTGTGCTTAAGTTTGGAAATGGAAGTTATAATATATAGTTACTGCTTTGACTTTTCATAATTTCATGATTAATATCCTTATTTATAAGGTGATAATTTAATTTTCAATCCTGTTGTGTTTCCTTTATTCCATGGTGGCAAATAATTCAAGGCAAAGATATATTTTTCAAATACAGTTTTTTGTTTGTTTGTTTGTTTTTTGTTTTTCAAGACAGGGTTTCTCTGTGGAACCTATCCTGGCACTCGCTCTGTAAACCAGGCTGGCTTCGAATTCACAGAGATCCTCCTGCCTCTGCCTCCAGAGTGCAGGGATTAAAAGCACTTGCCACCAATGCCCAGCTCAAATATAGATTTTTAAGTCACTTGTATGTTGAGGCTATATAGAAAGTAAAAGGCAAATAGAGGAAAAACTATGATTATACTTTAAAAAGTTAAATTAAGGATAAATAGGTTATGATGATAAAAAGTAAAAAATTAAAACTCCAGTAAGAAAAATAAGCTAAAATTTGATAAATCAGTAGCATTTTTAAAACCAAAAAGGCAATTTTACTTAAATATTTTCTTTTAAAAGTAAAAATATGAAGAATAGGGAAGCAAAGCATTTCTTTTTGCTTTATTCTATGGTCTTGAGAGTCTGAGCTGCTGCTGCCTTTGCAGCTGGGGACCCTGTCCCCACAGAGTTCCCAGCACCGAAGTTCCACCACGCTGTCTGTGCTTGAGCATCCCAAACTTCCCCTGCTCACCTCTCTTCCAGAGCAAATTTAACTGCTATTTTTTGTTTGTTTCCCACAACTACCACCATTATGACTCACTCTTCCTCCACTTTTGAAAAAAATTACCTACACGAGAACATCAGAAGCTATTTTCCTTTTTCTCAAAATGATTACTGAAATAACACTGCCATTTTATATAAGTCCCCTAATTAAGTTAGGGGACTGGCATATGGTTGCAAATAACAAGCACAGGCAACTTTGCCAACTAGTATCTAATAATTCACTGAACTCCCAAGTCTTCATCTCTGCATCCTTTCCTCTATATATTTGTCCAGTGGTGGGAGCAGCAAGTACAAACAAAGCATTTTGTATACTTTGAAGGGCCACATAAAAGCTAACCAGCCAAAGGCTGACTAGTTCCTTAAGAATTGCTTTGTTAGCTATCCAATAATTGCGTTCTTGATAAGTTTATACTAGCTAATTGCCGTTCAAATGATATCCCCTCCTAAAACTAACTTCTGAATGTTCTTAACTTGAAAAGAATGTGCTTATTTTGAGAGTACTGTTCAGCACAAGTGTGCATGTAATGCCAACAGTGTGTCTAAAGTGTGGAAATGCCCTCAAGTACCTGACATGTCATTATTAGAGCCAGTATTTTTAAAAAGTTGCATCTTGCTTTATCTTGTTCATGTCAAAATAGGAAATAAACCTCTCTTAGATTTCTCAGTTACATACAGTTACAACTGTTTGCAACAGGAAAGTGTCAATAATAAAGAATAATGCAAATAATATTTCTAAACTAGATTCTTTGAACTTCACTCTACTTTTGGCCCTAGCATATGCTAAATACTTAATTTAAAAACCTTTTTTGGTTTTCTTTTTAGTGGTGGTAGGGATTGAATACAGAGCTCCCATGTGCTATATCCCTAAGCTTTTGAGTTTTTGAGGTAAGATCTCTGTATGTAGCCCAGGGTAGCCCTTGGGTACCTTTTAATTAGTGGATATTTTTAATTAGTGCTGCTTGTTAAGTATTTTGACTTAGAATTTACAGGAATACAAACTTCTAAGTGGTGAAAAATAATTATAAATAAGAGATATGTGCTTTTAAGTTTTCTAACATGGTGATCAAAAGCAATTACCTTGAATTTTAGAATATTTTACTATATTGAAGAATCAGATTAATACAATTTTAGATATATTGAGCCCAAAGAAAAAGCAGTTGAAAGTTATTATATCAAGAAGTTTGATTACAATTTTGTTTTATAAAATTATTTCTATTTAATGGATACCATGGAACTTAAATCTAAGTGAGATAACATAGTTGAAAGAGATTCGTAATTATGTTATAAAAAATACCAGAAAAAGTAGTCAGTGTCATAATTTGCTCAATAATTTAGTGTTCTTATTAGATGAATAAAAAAGAAATAAGATTCAGAGGCTGGGATATAGCTCAGTAGGTAATAGTAGTAGTAGTAGATATAGTCAGGCAAGCATCAGGACCTGAGTTCAGATCCCAGCATGCATATAAGAGCTGGGTTTGGTGGTGCAGGTCTGTGACTCCAGCGCTGGGAGCTGGGTGTGGAAGACAATAGGATCATTGGTGTTCACTGGTCAGCCTGTCTAGCCGAGTTAGTGAGCTGCAGGTTCTTCTCGAGACCCTGTCTTAAAAAAACAAGGTGAAGAAGCAATTGACTGAACTCTGGCATACACATGAACACACAGACACACAAATGCAAAAGATACAATATGTATATAAAATAATTTATTTTAAACTGGCTAGTCCTGTAGAGGTTGTTAATAAGTTTTTGTTGTGTATACCATTGATGAAGC